TCTTTCCCTTGGGGATTTTTATCTGGCCATCATTCAGATATTTAAAGCCACTTATAAACACCCTGATTGTTGTCTAGCTGCTTTGATCTGGGGAGATCCGCTCCCCTGCCACTAGAGGGGACATGGGTGGGAGAGGAAAATCTCAGTCAAGGATACACGAGGTTTCTAGAGACATCACTTCTTTGGGGGCAGGTTTTTTTTTTTTACTCTGTTTTTCCTCCCCCAAGACTGGTTAATGGATGTAGAGTTTCTCTATTTAGGCGAGAAAGATCCCTCAGGCCCCAAGACTGCCCCTTTGCTTCTGTCCTAGGGATGGAGTTACTGCCCAGGGCTGTTTTCAGCCCGTCTGGTGGCTGTCTCTCTTACCCTGTGGGCCCTACCTCCTCTCCAGTGCGGAGCCTGTGACACCCATTGACCCAGCAACCGGCATCCTTCGCAGGACAAGGCAACACAGAGCCCTGGGCTCTTTCCAGCAGCTCCCAGCACTGTGGTTGCTCTTTGATGTGGGATTACTCATCCAGTTCACAGGAGACAGATCTTGAATGCGCGCTCTCTGCTTTGAGGCCATCTGTCACCTCTTTCAGTCAAATCCCCTTCAAGCACATCCACTGCAGAACAAAAACTTACCTGGCAGTGGGAGAAGCAGCATGGGGCGCTTCTGTGAGCTGGGGTCCGAGCAAGCAATTAGAGCGTTGAAACCTGCCCCTTGGTGTGCCCCGTCTGGCCTCTGCAGTTTCGCGCAGAGGCATTTCAGAGAGGTGGGGAGAAGGAAACAGCTTGTCCCAACAGATTTGAACACCCTTCCGGCACCACCAAAGCAGGGTGCCGGCCATGAGAGCCAAGTTCGTTACTGCAAACACCCCACAGCACTAATGCTGGTCTGTTCACTTAGCCTGGCCGTGTCATCTGATTGCTCTTAGTGTCCGGGGAGAGGCAAGGCAGTAAGCAGATCAGATTTCCCAACCCGGCACCCAGACCAGGAGTGGGCCGAGGTTGCTACTTGGCAAACTCCATCTTTTGTGCTCTCAAAAAATAGATTCCTCCCGTAGGCCGTGCTATCAGGGAAGAGGCCTGTATGTATGAAGAACTGAGAGTCAAATGTTTAAAGCTGTTCCTAACTCTCATTGACTTTCAGTGGGGTTTAGGCACCTAAATCCTGTTTAAGTAGACAGATGCCCAAGGGCCAGATTAACCCACAAGTTTCCCAGTTCTGACCCTTTGCCACAAACCTGATGGCATCCTACACACCTCCTTTCCTGACCCTTCTTTGAGCAATGGAAGAATCACTCCACCGATTGCCAGACTTCCCTTCTGCCAGAGCCTTTCTCTTGGACACCTGCTCTTATTTTTTAGCAGGAGCATTCATGCGAGTTTGTTCCCAAGACAGTGACAGCCTCGGTCACTGTCTGAGCAGTGTTTGTTCACTAACAAGTGATCCAAATGCTCCTGTGAATATTTGTGCAAAAAAAATCTGTGTCCCAAGAGCTGTCCCCCTCCTGTTCAGAAGAGGATTTTAGCTCTTCAGCCCAAGAGCAGAGCAGCAGCCTGCCTAGCGCAGAGAGAAAAATCTGCACAATAGCCCACTAAGTGATTGGCAAGTGTCCCTGGAAGCTGAAATCCGTGCCAGTCAGACATTCGTTGAACCGGTCCAAATACCAGCTAAATTAGGGGAAAAAAATCTCAATCTGTTTGCAGATAAAAAGAGCTCAGTTCCCTGAAGCCAGTTCCCCTGAGGCTTGCCAGGATAGAGCCCAGATAGGGTGAGTTTCATCCCTGTGCGGAGTCGGCGCCAGGCTTGTGGAGCTGCGCTGGAGTGGGACTTCAGGGTTGCCTTAGAAGGGTGAACTTTACTCCCATTTGGGAGCAGGGGCGGCTCTGATGCATGCTTCTACTTTTACGTCCCGAGGGCTGTTTATTTACGGCTTGGATGGTGGAACTAGAGCGGTCGGCTTCGCTTGGGTGGAGCCTTTCTCTCGACCTGTGAACCGGTTGCAAAGGTGCAGGAACGCTTAGCAGCGAGGGCTGAGATTTTCAGAGGGACTTTGGCAACTGCTTTGTGTTGACAAGCAAAGTCATGGGTTTGCCTCTCCTCTCTGCTTCCTCAGCACTGGAAGAGAGCAGCTCCATTCAAAGCTGGCACCATGCTGGTGGGATGGAGCATTTTGGGCTGTTTGACAGCAGGCTCTTTTGAAGGTCAGTCCTTCTGTGACTGCCTGTGCCCTGCCTTCACCGGGCATCTTTTCAATCCCTGAGAAAACAGTTTGCAGGAAAGACGGTCCCATAGGAAAGAAAAATAGTACTGCCATGGCAGGATGTCCTCCGGGAATGCAGAGCTGTGGCTGGGCTTGTCCTTGCAATCCGGAGGGCTGGAAATGGTCCAGAGAGTTTCCTTGGAGAAGTGTGGGGCTGGGCAGAGCGAGCGAGGACTATTTTGAGCAGCGAGAGCTCAGGGGCTTGGCGTTCCCATCCCTGCTCTGCCTGCCGGCGCTTCAGAGCCTGAATTGCTCTGTGACAGTGTCACGGGGAAGGCAGGCTGCCTCGAGCTCTGTTCACCCTTTGGATGAGCTGCCTGCCATCCCCGCGTCGTCCTCGCCCCATCTCTTCCCAGCAACCACGTACAAATCGTGTACCTTTTTCCCGTTGATCGTTATTGTCCTCATCAATAATTAAGCCGCAGATTTCTCGCTATTGGCTCTGACAGGAAGTGGAGTTCAGCTGTGCGCTCTCCTCTGCTCAACCTCCCTGTTGGAACAGAGTGTTCCTGTGTGTGTGAGAGAGCTTTCTTGCTTAATTGCTTGTGACACTGTTAAATATGGATCTTGGTGGCTTTCCAAGGGCACCCCAGCTGAAGTGCTGTACAAAGGAACCATTACCAGAATAATCGGAGAAGACAGCCCCAGCAGAGCGGAGAAAGTGAGAGAGGATGCCTTGCCCAAAGGACATGTCATTTATGAGGGGAAGAAAGGCCACGTGCTGTCTTATGATGGTAAGTTGGAATCCTCTGTATTTTCCAGAGGGGCTCGTCCCACCCAGCGAAACTCGGGAAGGGGAAAAGGCCATGTGAAAAGCCCTTACACGGCAGAACAGGACATACTCGCATCCAGCATCTTGTTGCCACCCATCCCTGTTCGTTGGAGTATTGGCCAAGGGGAGCAGGTTTTCCCCCTTGAATCCATGGACCCAATCTTGGCTTGGACACTCCTGACACCAGGAGTCGCCAAGAGAGCCAGGCGTGTGAGGGCACCATAGGCTCTTTGGGGCACGGAGCATCTTGGTGATTTTACATTAGTGGCCCTTGGGGAGTGGTCATGATACAAGCTGTCCTGCCAGGGAAGGTGCGGTCAGCCTGGTGGGTCTGAGGGCAGCAGTCTAAGTTTGGAGCAAGAACATCTGCATGAAGGAGCTGTGCTCAGATGGTAGGTAACCTTGTTTGTTCTCCGTGGGCAATAACAAAAATGTTCTGTGAGCCACAGCGCTCAGCCCCTGTTGATGCCCGTGGGGTCCAGGAGGAGGGCTGGGGTGGTGCAAGTGCTGAGCACGGTTACAGCCCAGCGGTCACAAGTTTGAGGCCACGGCACAAGTGGTCGTGGCGCAGCCGTGTCGGATTCCAACGAATCTGCGAATTCTGCTAAGTAGCTTGTCACAAGGGCCAGGGACACAGCAGGAAAGGAAGGGTGCAGGACAAGGACAGCACGGCTGCTTGTGGGGATGAAGGAGCCTCTTTGGGTGATCCTGAGACCATGGGCGAAGGTCACCTGCGTCTACTTGAAATTTCCGCCCTACATGAGGCCCGAGCTAAGGGCTTTCGTGGCCCGTGTCGAACCTTGACCAGATACTTTGCGCCGAGGTGAATTTCCTTCCAAGACGCAGGAAGCAGGGTCCATCCTGGGCCTGAGGCAAATCCGACATGCCTAGTGCCACCTCCAGGGCTGGCGGGACAAGGTGATGGGGTCATGTTAGGATGCCACAGCCTCTGAGCTCTCGGTTAACACTGCACCTAATGTTCCCGTGAGGATGGACAACACCTTCCCAGCTGGTGGCAGGACGTCATGGCACAGCCTGGCCAGTTCTCAAATAAGGAGTGGCTCTTCAGGTGCCCTTTCAGGATGGCTTGTGGGCCTTGGTGCCTGGGTCAAACCCTGCTACCTGACACAGGGGCAGGGAATGCTTTAGAGGGATTTCCAGCCTTCTGCAAGCTGGGCAAAGGGTCTTTTTGGGTTTCTTCCCTCACCCAGACCCTCTCTCTGGCCCCTCCTGGGGCCAGGCTCACTCCAAGCACTGGAACCTGGCTGGTGTTCAGGGCGCAGAGCTGGGAGTCAGGACTTTGGGCTCTGTCCTCTGCTCTTCCCCTGGACTTGCCATGACATCTCAGCGCCAGGGAGTGCAGAGGGCAGGAGCCCCAGGGTGGGGTACTTCTGTGCAGAGGGCAGCCACTGTCTACCTGTTTGCACTCTGGATGTGTCAAAGGCCTGAAGACGTTTGAAGCGATAACCCCCACCATGGAGAGCATGGTTATCCTTGGAGAAACAGGTGTCACGGGAGGGCCCCAGCTCCCACCCCATCTATTTATTCCAGTATTGGCTTCCATAATGTTCTCTCCTGGGCACTCAGCAGCTCCCTCTTCCAAAGAAGGACTCTGCATCTCAGGGAGGGTAATGTCCCAGGGTGCCGCAAGCCCAGCATAGCTGACATCCATGTATGCCATGGTGGTCCTCAGCTGGGGGATGCACCCTGAGCGGCGTCACGCGTTCCAAAGCAGAGTCCTCCTCTTGAATCCATCACTGCAGGGCTCAAGTGTTCATGCGATGCCTCGAAGCAGCCGAGTTATACTGGAGCCAGGAATATTTGGAGCTGGTCCCTGTGCCTGGCCTGCACAGGGCAGCCCACTCAACCCTCACTGCTGAGGCCACTTCTCCACCTCCTGGAAACCTTGGCTGCCAAGTGGTGGGGGTGGAAATAGTTGTTGCTGAGTCAGCACATCCAGCCAGCTGCAACCTACCCAGCCGAGCCCAGCATAACGTGGATCTGCAGAGCGGCCTGTGTGCAGCACATCTCAGAACGGAAGAGGCTGCATTCTCCTCTCGCCCCAGCCCTCGCCTGCTGCGCAGCATCTCTGGCGATTGTCTTTGTGTTACGCAAAGAAGTTAGAGCCTGTTGCAGGGACAGCTGCAGGGGGTGGGGTGAGCATTGCTCCAGGAGATCTCTGCTCACCATCAGGCAGACCTGTGCTAGGTGAGACCCAAACTTCTGTAACAAGAGGAGCCTTGCTGCTGCTGTGACCTGCAAGGGGAGCCCAGCTCCCAGCAGGCATCTGCCTCTCTGTGCTCCAAAGCACTTGTCAATGCAAGAGGTTTCCGGGCTCCTTTGACGTATGGAGGATGCGGACAAGTCTCCGTGGATTCCACTCGCTCTGTTCTCTCCTACTCTTATGTGTGTTCCTGACGGCATCCCGTCTCTCTTAGAGACACCACCAAGGCCCTAGGACTCTTGGCTCTTGGTCTGCATATAAAGAAAGGGTTTTACTAACCCTGCAGTGAATAAAAATGGGTTCCACCAAGTTCCGTCTCCAGCCCCAATTAAAAGTGGTTTCCTCCTTCCTTCCACCCCTTTTGCAGCAGAGCTATGAACCCCAGGGTGCACGTAAGGGAACTTGAGCTATGGGAACTGAAATTGCAGAGGTCAGTGATGTTTACCAAGCTGGCTTTGCTGTCTGGGTAGCAAGGAGCACAAGAGCGGCAGCAGTTGGGACACGTGGTGGAAAGAACATCCAGTTTCCAGCCCAGGCTCAGGGAGGCTCAGTAACGTGAGAAGGCTCTTCCCTTTTCTCTCTCTCGATATAGGATTATCTTGACAGGATCACAAAAAAAAAAAAAAAAACCCCAAGCAGAACATACGCTTCCGCCCTGCGCCCTCACTAAAGCACTTCCTTGTGAAGCGCACAGGCCGCCTTGCTGCATTCGCAGTATCAGCGCTCAGTAACCAGCTGTTACTTCCTTCCCCGAGCCGGTTCATCAGATAGCAGGGCTTGCCATAACAACCCGCCTGCTAGCACGGTTGGCTCCCACTAGAGATGAGCAGCTGTTCATCTCTAGCAAGGCTACAAATGACTCTGAGGTACGGTCCTTTCCTGCCACGTTGCCCTTCTACAGGCTGTGCGGGTTGGGCAGGGACGGCCAAGCAAGCGGTTGACTTCCCCTCTGCCCTGCCGCGTTGGGAGGCAGAGGATGCTGCGGTACAGCGAGTGCCACCCTCGCGGGGGGTTCTCTTCCCGCGATTCTCCAACCCCGGGGATCGGGGTGTGCGCGGGGCTGGATACGGACCTGGGAGTGCGTTGGTACCTGGCACAGGAGGAGCATGGAGATCTGCCTTGCAGCGTGGCACCAGATCTGTGCCGAATCTAACGCAGAGGTGCCTGAGGACCAGATGCTAATCTCAGGCACACCCGCTGCCTCTTAGCGTATCTCTTGGATCTGCTGCTGCGTTACCCACCCACAACCGGCTGGCCTCCCCAGCAGGCAGTGTCCCTCCACGCATTAGTCCGTCGCCCCCCCCCCGTGGCCTGCTTAACAGCGAAACCCCTGGCATGTCATGCCTTTGCCGCTGACCGGGAGCCCTAGTTTCCAAAGCTGGCTGGCCTCAGACTGAGGAAGGCGATGGCAGAGAAAGGGTGCCCCGTGCTGGCTCTTTCCCTGCCCAGCCGTGCTGCCATGGGGAGCCTTTCTCCTGCTGCCCTCCTTGCAGGTGAGGGGGTTTTATTTTCCATCGGCTGCTGTCTGCGTGCTGCGGTGAGCTAACCGGTGGGGGCAGGCTGGGGGCTGAGCCGACCGGGCAGCCAACTGCTAGCAAACAACAGGTGCAGGCCTGATTCCCAGCCCCGTGCTCCCATCTGGGCTTCCAAAGTGCTGAGCACCCCTCCCTTCCCACCAGGACTCTGGCAGGAAGGTTTCCAGGTGCTTGGGAGCAGCACTGAATAGCAGACCTTACAAGGATTTAGGGAGGCAGCCCGAGCTGGGCACCCCGCAGCACCGCACCTTCCCTGGTTTCAGCCGAATGGCTGGGTTGGTGGAGGGGGCTGGCAGGGGAAGGGTTAAAATCCTACGCGCTGGCTGGCTTCTGACTCCAGCCTTATGGCCTCGGCTGGGCTCACCGGTGCCAGGCTGGAGGAGCGCTGCGTGCCATGCCCGCTGCACCCAGTGCACGCACCCCATTGCCATTCCTCTCGCGTTCAGTCGTTCCCTTTGTCCCGGAGAGGAAGTGTCGCTCAGGGAGACTTGTGGCAGCCTGGTCTCTGGGATACTTGGCACAGCTGAGGCCAGAAAGCAATGCAGGAAGCGTTTCAGGGCTGTCTTCCTAACGAGCTGCCCGCAGCCGGTGCTTGGGATGAAGCAGGCTGGTCTAATAAGCAGTGCAGCAGCGGGGGAGCTGGGCTGCCCTGCTCACCTCCGAGCTTCAGCCCAATCAGCCCAGGTTGTGACTGCAGCTCAGGCATGGGGCCAGTTGGCCCTGAACACATCCAGAGGGAAGTCGCGGTAGGTGTTACCCTTCAGGGCAGGTCTGCAATCACTAATCAACCTGCGTGGGCAGCAGTTGGCGATCCACGTGGGAATGCAGGAGATGGAGACGGGTTGTATTCCCAGACTGGCTGCATGACCCAGGGCCCTTGTGTTGCTGGTCCATGCCTTCGTTTCCCACCCTGTTCTTGGTGTATCTCGGCGTCTTAGCTTGCCAGCTCTCCAGCGCTGTGTCCATCCCCTGTGGTACACTGGGAAACCTCCATTTTACCTGGAGCTTGTAGATGCGGTTGTAATACAGACACTAATGACGGTGATGGCATGGGGGAGAGGGCTCAGCAGTGAAAGGTGAGTGCTCTGTCCAAGACCAGAGGGAGCAAGAGCAGAGTTAGTCTCTGGCTGTTTCCAGGCCTAAGGTCAGGTGTGCTGTGGCTGGCAAGGGGAGAGAGATGGGCTCTGCGTGCGCCAGGCCTTGCACATCTCTGACGCCGGTGATCCTCCATGGCATTAGTTCACATTTGATGAGGGAACTAACATTTGTGGCTTCTCTTGGGCTCCATTAATACGCCTCCTCCACCAGAGCTGCTATGCATGTGTCACTGTCTCGCAGGTGTTTAGCCTGCCCTTCACCCTCCCCACAAATAGTACTAGCAAAGCATTATGATATCGAGGACGAGGCCACCTGGGAAGGACAAATGATTCATGCATGTGGTGGCTTTTCCGCTCTTTGCTGGACACATAGGGCTAAGGCGCTTGGATCCCAAAAGTCTTGACCGTCTCCTGTCCCCTCCTCAATCCTGGGAAGGTTTCAGATCCAGAAGCAAAGGAGTTAAAAAAAAAATTAAATTAAATGGTTAGTGATTATGAATTCTGGCAAGGAGGAAAAAAATTGCAAGTTCTTCAGTGTCATGAGGGTGCTTAAAAATAAAAGGGCTCTAATGAGACGAAATCCTGTAGCATGTGCAAGCTGAATTGTGCTAGATTGGTTATTCTCATTCTGCATGTGATTGCTAATGGCTTCTGTGGGGAAAGGGACGTGTTTTCGGAGCGATTTTCTTTCTTTTTACTCTCTCTCTTCCCGTGCACCCTCCTCTCCCTTCCCCTCCCCCTTTTTCTCCATGAAACAAAGAGATCCAGGGACAGGGTTGGGTTTTTTTATTTGCAGAAGAACCAATTTGGAGCAGATGTTCCTTGATGACAGGATACAGGAACATTACCCCCTTCGTGTGTCTCAAGATGCTAGGCTGCTTTCTGAACATCAGCCGCCAATTTTTTTTTTCTCCTACCAAATCAATCTGAGCAGAGAGAGTCCTCTTTTTCCCCAAATCTGCCCCCATACCCTCTGCCTGCTGACTGCAGGAAGTGATCGTGGGTGTTACATTGTAATAATCCCATTTTATTAATGACAGGCTTCACAGAAAAGAACTTTTGTTCCCAAACTCTCCGTGACCGAACAAATGTTTCTTGTCTTCTCCAGTGTTTTCTCTAATTGTATAATTCCAAGTTTCTGTGTACATGAAAGAAGAGGATCAGGGCACTGGCATTCCTCAGTTGCATAGACGGGGCCAGAGATAATGGGCAAAGCATATATCTCTGCGAGCCAACTCTGTAGCTTGGAGCTAGTTATATAAACACGGCGCATTCAGCTGCATCATAAACTGCCGTATAAATTTCACAGCTTGCAGCACGTTATGGAGAAGATAAGATTGTACTGGTGCAGTGGGTTTGCTGGGGCAAATCCAGTGCGGGGAGAGATCATGAATTTTTGAGGCAGTGGAACGGTCTCATGGGAGTAAGAGTAGGAGGCCCATCGTTTGAGTGGACGCGGCAGAGCAGCAAGAAGACCTGCGCTGGCATGGAGATGGTCTTGGTAACCCAGTTGGCTTGGGCCATTTGGAGACCTTAGGGTTGTGCATGAGAACGTGAATGGTTGGAAGCAAAGAGAAGGTCACACGTGGGATGGGGTCGCCTCCGTTGCTTCACATCACACTTCTGCCGCCCTCTGTCTTTGCGTGAAATGTTTCACGTTCTCCGCTGCGTGTTCTGTGTTCTGCGCTGTTCTGTGTCTGCGAGCACAGTGTTCAGCTGCAGGTTCAGATGAGAATAATATGAGATTGTTGAACGTCAAAACGCATTCGGTTGCTTTGGGTGTTTTTCTGCTTTGCTTCTTCCCTTTTGCCTACTTTTATCCCCGGGAGCATATCCCAGTGTCTGCTGAGGCGGCTGGACAGGATCCCACACAGTAGGTACGTTCGAGAAACGAGTCCAGGGACCAATAGCCGGGAGAGTTGCAGCTGCTTGCACCAGGGCTGGATTTGCTCCCAAATGTCTCGCTGACTATGTCTGGACAGTGGGGAAAACAGACACCCTTGTCCAAGCATGAGGCCACAGTGTTTGGAATCGGGCAGGCAGGGAGGAGGCAACGGCTGATTTTCCTGGAACCCCGTCCCATGCTGTAATGCTCTCACAGCTCACAAGGTTTGGGCTGTGAGAGCTCTGGGCTGTTGCTCAGAAGGGCCTTGACCCTCTGGCCTGAGTTACAGTAAACAGCCTTGCTCATTCATTCCTCCCTTTCGAGGCCGCTTTGCTCCTTCACGTCTGTTTTGTTTCCTAGGTGGCGTCGCTGCTTCCCAGTGCCCCAAGGAGGACGGCCGGAGTTCTGGTGGCTCCCACGAGACCACGGGTACCAAACGGACCTACGATATGATGGAGGGGAGGATCGGCCGGGGCTTATCGGCCCGCGACATGTCATCTGCAAGCATCGAAGGCAAGTCTGTGGTGGGGGGGTCTCTTGGCAGTGCCAGATCAGCAGCCTGGCGACTCCGGGGACTTTCTGCAGCCTGTTGCAAAAGAGATGCGCATGATGCTTGCTCTCTCATGGGGATGCGATGTATTGTTTCTTGCTCCTAATTCCCTTCACCTAAAATAAGCCTGACTGAAGCACCCTATGTGGGAGGAGTGCACACGCAGACTTGCAAATACATGCGTGTATACATGCACATGCAAGTGCCATAATTGTAGGTTTGTATGAACAGGATCATAAAGCAAAAGAGGTCTTCATTCATCATTCTTCTTAATAACAGTGCCACAGGCCCCTACAAACATGTCTAGACCACTGGTTTCTACGTTTTGCTGGCCCCTAGGCAAGTAAGAGCCAATGGTTAGCATCACACTTGGCTCTCGCCATCAACTCAGTTTAACGTCTTCATTTCCTTTGGCCACAAGCCATACCAGAGTCGGTGGGCAGCATGTTACCTGTGAGCTGTGGTTTGGAGATCACTGGTTTGGATTGCACTAAACTACAGCTCCAGGCTGGGATTTTTAGGGAGTCCAGCGAAAGACCGTGTTAAAGGGGCATCATCTAGCTGTAAACCCCCCTCCCCAGAAGACTTTTTTACGAATGATTGGGATTTGAAGTGTCCTTGGGAGATTTATCTACAAAAGACGAGGAATAATTGATCCGATACCAAGTTGGAGAACCCATTTAAGGGAAAGCCAGGTTCAGAGTCTTCCAAGAGCATGCATGTAGCTGACTCGTCTGCATGTGAAACTAGTTTCAGTGGGGCTACTTGTAGGATTGGGTCCAAGTGTCTCATTTATCGGCGTGGCTTCTGCATTCTTACAGTGGCATCTTCATTCGCTTAAGAGCAAGGGAAAATTACAAGGGGGCAAAGTCAGGTTAATTGTTTATTAAAAAAAAAAGAAAGAGGAGTGTTAATTGCAGGCCTCTAATTACTTTGGCTAATCTCTCTCAAATGGCTAGTTTGGATTATGTTTTTGTTGGTGGTGTCAGATTCTTCCCGTATGCTTTTGGGATGGTGCTAGCACATGGGGCTCTGGGGAGACACTGCCAAGAAGTAATGATGGTTTTGAATCTGCAAGCTCTTCTTTAAGTGCTCCACTGCAGTGCTTCCAAAGAGGCTCACACTGAGCCAGTGCAGGGAAACAAGGCAGCGAGAGTGACCGGACAGCAGAGGAAGCTGACAGCCCAGGTGTTCTGGTTCCAGAAAAACAAAATAAACTGAGGAAAAGGGGAGAATCAGACTAGCCCTTGAGAACTGATCCCATCCCAGGTGCTGCAAACAGCTCAGGTGACTTGCTTCTGTACTGTGGCCCTTGGAAATACAGTGAAAATGCGAGCAGTTTAATCGCTGAAAACCAGGGCTGGAGAAACCTCAGGCTGCCGTCTGGTCCCACTCCCTGCACAAGGCAGGAGGAACATCTTTGTCTAAAACAGCTCGCCCGAGTGTCTGTCTAGCCTGCTCTCAAAGATCAAGTCTCTGTGGCTGCTCTCTGACTTGACTTACCTCTTTGGCCTGTTCTAGGTCTTATGGGCAGAGCCATCCCCCCAGACAGTCCCCACAACTTAAAGGAACAGCATCATATCCGGGGCTCAATCACACAAGGTAAGTCTGGCAAGTGCCGTGCAGCTCACCTAGGGAAGTGGTTGGGGTGGAAACGAGCAGGGCACAATGGGAGATTTTTTTTCCGATGTGCAGCATGGCCTTGCCCGTGGATCCTGCCATCCACGTTGGTCCACAGGCCCCAAGCAGACCTGTCTAGCAGGGTGAGATATTCAGAGGCATTCAGCAAGGACCTGGCCCTGCTCTCACCAGGCATTCTCGTGGGCCTGGCACCACTCATCATATTACTGGTGGTGGTGTCATTCTCCCCATATACTTTAGGGGCACTGCTAGCACATGGGGATCTTGGGAGATGCTGCCAGGAAGGTAATGATCGTTCTGGAGCTCCTTGGGTAGTGGTGGGACCCCCCACCCCCTTCTCCCATGGCTTCAGGGAGAGCAGAGCCAGACCAGCAGAAAACACTTCTGCAAAATCCTCCGTGCCAGGCGTCAGACCTCGCGTGGCACCAGCAAGGCAGTATCAGCTGGGTCACGCTGCCTGGGCTCTTGGCACGGTAACCCTGTAAACCCCTGTGACAGACTGCTGCTACGGGGTCTGTCAGCACAGCAGTCAGCCCGCTGGGGTCTTTTTCTTTTGGAAACCCATGACAGAGCCTTGTCTTTCCTGGGTGGGGTGCAGGAATACCTCGATCCTATGTGGAGGCCCATGAGGACTACCTCAGAAGAGAAGCCAAGCAGCTCAAGAGAGAAAACACTCCGCCAAGGGACTTATCGGACCCCTACAAGGGGCGGCCTCACGAGGGCCTCACGCCCTTGAAAATGAAATCAGCCCACGAGGGGCTGGTGGCCACAGTGAAAGAAGCAGGAAGGTCAATCCATGAGATCCCCAGGGAGGAATTAAGGCGCACGCCTGATATCCCCATAGCCACGAGGCCTCTGAAGGAAGGCTCCATTACACAGGTATGCACGGTGGGTGGTGGACATGATGCACGGTGGGTGGGTTGGCATGATGCACGGTGGGTGAGTAGGCATGATGCATGGTGGGTGGGTCGGCATAATGCACGGTGGGTGGGTCGTCAAGATGGGGAAGGGTGACACGTACCATTCTCCTCTGCTAGGCCTGGGCCCAAGACCAATTTCAGTCAGGTTTCCCACTTGGGATTAAAGTCAGCGCAAACAGCAGCTATAATTTTTGGCGATTCTTTTTGTTATTCCCCCGTCGGGGAGTTTAGGACGTGACTACGACCATAAGCTCTGAGTTAATGAGCTTATTTGCATAGACTGCTGGAAGACGTTTCAGAGTTAAACTCGGGGTGGAGAAGGGTAGAAATTGTTGTTTCACAGAGGCGTCATCAGCTAAGCTTCTGTTTCCTAAAGCAGAGGGTGGTCAGATCCAGGTTCTCTGTGTCTGGCCCCCTCTTCTTCTTCTCCGCCAGCCTTACCTGCCGCCTCTTAAAACTGGATCAAATGAATGATCCCAATACTGGCTCCTCTAAGCAACAGTGCCTCTTTCTAAGCTCTCTGTTGGAAACGGCATGTGTAAACTTGCCGGGTCACATTCTGCTGTCGGTAACACAGCCATCTCACTAAACCCAGCGTAAATTTGCTGACTGGGAATGACTCCGGCTTTTATATAGAGATTACTGAGAACAGGATTGTTTTCCTCCTACCTGGGTCAGTGATAACCAACAGGGCCAGCTCTAGGAGTTGGTGAGCAAATGCTGGGTGCACATTTCCTGTTGCAGACTCAAAATATTTGAGACGTTTCCACGGCAGCTATTCGTGTTTGTGACAGTTGATTCTGGCTTAGTTCTCTGGTGCGTGGTAGAAGGAGCATGCTGGGTGCAGACATAGTTAATGGTTACTTTCCATGGTGACTTTCCACCGTTCCCCCAGGGAATAGGAAACTCAGCCACGGTTGACCCGCTGCATAATTGCACCGTGCTCCTCCCGTATGTCACCCTGGGGCTTCTAGACAACATAGTCATTATTATTTACATAGAGTGGGATTTTCCAAAGCACTTAAGGGTAGCTCTGGACCTCCCAGTTATGTTACCAGGCAGAAAAACTTATGGTGCACTGAGCTCTAGCCTAAGGCAACTATACTACTTCCAGTTTGGGAGGCAGCGTGTTTGGAGCAGACTTGGAGTTATCTTAGCCTGGAGCTTCCCAACACCAGCAGTGAGTGGCCCAGACATGCCCTAAAAACAGCAGGTCCTGTTGAAGATCATTGAGGTTTGTCTTCGAGTTGCTAGGCATTTTTAAATGTCCTGTCCCTAGTGCCCCAAGCTGAGCATGGGCCAAGAAAGCTCGTGGTGATCTCCTCTGACCTCCTCCCATTCTGCTTCCTTCCCCTCATGCACCCTTTTGTGACCTCTGCACTGCCTTGTCTCTCCCTAGGGTACCCCACTGAAGTACGACAACAATCCTTCATCAGTAAGTGCCAAAAAGCATGACGTCCGCTCCATTATCGGTAGCCCAGGGAGGACTTTTCATTCTGTGCACTCACTGGACGTCATGCAGGACCCACGCAATCTAGAGAGGGCTTGTTACGAGGAGAGCGTGAAAAGCCGGCCCAGTTCGGTGACAAACTCTGGAGGTTCAATTACCCGGGGAGCCCCGGTGATTGTGCCTGAGCCTGGAAAGCCTCGCCATAGCCCTCTCGCCTATGAGGACCACCAGTCAGCCCACGGGACAGCGTTCAGTAGTCACCTGCACAGAGGTTCTCCAGTATCCACAAGGGAATCCACCCCAAGGCAGCATGAAGGTAACTCCTGTTCTTGGGAACCCCTGGGGCTTTTGTTTTAGGGCAGATTTCTTTTTTGCTCTGCCTGGCACCAAACCTGATGCCCAAGTCAGGTGAGGTGCAGCTTCCTCCATCTCTGCATGACTGGCCTCTGAGGTCCCTTTCTGGAGAGATCAGCTGCAACAGTCGAACAAGGTGCTTTATTTCAGGAGGAAGAAAAAAATCCCGTTGACCAGCTGTTCTCTCTTCGATTTCCACACGTGGCGAATGTGCCACATTGGCTGGAGCAGGGAGTTATGGCCAGAGGGGCTGGTGGTTTCCCAGTTAAAAAGTGGAATCACTCTTTTAAATTCCAGCAGAGAGGTGCAATTTTGTGTCACGCTAGATTACAGGGTGCGTGTGCGAAAAGGACAGGCCAGTGGTCAGCAAACACTGTGCAGCCAAGTCTGAAAAAATGAAGCCTATTATCAGTTATGTGAGTTGGAAGGCAGCTCTTCCG